ACCTTTTTAACCTAGCTTTTCTTTTTTGATGCATGCCAATTTAATTTATTGTTTCACTTTATCTTGTTATTTCTGTTATTTTACCTTACTGTATTTTATTACTATTTTTTGTCATGTTTTTGCTTTTATGTTTTTAAACTTACTGTTTCATTGTAAAACTACTACATGTATGAACGGTAGGGGTGGTGGATACGGCAAAATGTAACATGATCCTTCAACACATTTTCTTGATGCACAATATGCATCATGATGTTTAGTTTTTCTGAAGTTTGATAAATTGAAACAGGCAAAAACATATATTTATTTAAAAACAACAAATCAAATATTTTTATTCAGTATTTCACAGACTGTGTTGAACTACATCTAATTAAACAGGCCTAATTATTCTCTCTTTGTAAAGGAATATGCAGTTGGCCAAATACTGAAATCTTGATGTCCACGATATGCTCAGAGAAACAAACTGCAACAATCAAATATATTGGGTTTTTTTTGTCTATATTTCACTTTTTTTTTAAAAAAAAAATGAAGAATTTTGAATTGTACCATAAAAATCAAATCAAATAATGGTGAAATTTCAAAATGTGTCGTTTCCCCACCACCAGGTTCCGAAACATGAAAAAACACACACACAGTCCACAGCAGTCCTCAACTGGCACTGCGGTCATTTGTATATCATCCAGTAAAGCAGGCCAGGCCTCCTCCATAGCTAAGCTTGCGGGTTTGTGTAGGCTGCTGGCTATGTGTACTGGACTGTGTTGCAGGTCAGTCTGGGCGGTAGACTCAGTCACTCCAGCGCTGCCAGGCCAGGGGGCTTTTCAGCACATTTGTTCTGGTTTATCTGCATATTTCGGCTGGCTTCAGTGTGCTCCTAACTGATAAAATTCTGCCAGTCTTTTCCAGCTTCGCCAGAGCTGAGGCACACTGACCTTCTCCTGAAGACTCCCTTTCAATAGAAAAGAGGCTTAGGAAAGAAAAAGAAAACAGGAAAAATGCTAGCCAGGCAGGTGGGGAAAGGGTCCAAGTTTTATCATGTAAGAAACAAAAAAACAGAGATGTCAGAATATGACACACACACACACACACAGACCCATATAGGTATGCTGGTACCAACGTAGCTTCACAGATGATTAAGTGCAACAGACAGGCTTGTCTCCACCTTGCTATACTGCACAGGTCCAAGTCCAACCAGCATACAAAATGCCACCATCAGAAACACCCCACACATCGTAATAGGTGTGTGAAAAACACTACCCGACTGCCCACATATACAGTGAGTCTGCCTGACCACAGTCTGTCTACCCTGCCTTTCAAACAATCTGGAGGATCACAGAACAACTATTTTCATAGTCCTTAAATTTTGGCATCTATGTTTCTTTTCTTTTCATTTTTTTGTCTGTTTCTAATCAAGTGGCACTCAATCACATCTCAGTGTAAGGCCCTGCACCATAAAGCGCTGAATAGGAAATGGTCAAAACCACAAGACAGAGCTTTAATCAGACATAAAATTTGGTCCAATCACCAGCTCAAGAACTTTCTTTCCAATTCTGATTCAGCCCGAACCATGTCATCAAGTTTTGATTCTGAACCCAACTCAAACCTGACAAAATTTTGTCTAAACCCGACTACAAACCACATCATCAGCTTTTGAGTCTGAACCCAACACGAACTTAAAGTTTTGTCTGGACCCCAACCTGACCTGAAAGACTTCAGCAAATTTTTTGTCCGAAAATGGTCCAGCAAAATTCTGTACGAAAATTACCAAACCAGCCCACTATCGCCAAAAGTTCCATATTAATTTCTACCATATTGAAAATATAAAATACATAATGCATTAAAATATTTTGGTTCAAATAAATATAAACATCCTTTTGGCTGCACTAAACTGTACTCTCCTGAACCAATTCACTGTTTTATTTCCCACTCATGCATTTTCCCACTAGCGTGGGCTTCATGGACCAATTTGGCACAACCAAATTCTGTCAACAACATGAGTGTATGACTCCAGAATATTCAGCTTATAAATGTTTCAGGTAATTAAAGTACAGAGAAAGAAAAAAGCAAGAACAACTAAAGCAGTGGGAAATGAGTGTAAAATATGTTCATAGTGTGAGGTGGGCCCTGAGACCCCTAATGTGTAATCTAAACCCAACTCTAGCCAACATGTGCTTGAGAAATGACATTTAAAACTGACTAAATGTTTAAAACACTTTTACACAACTGTTTGCAAGACAAAAGTATGATTTTAGGAATACTTTTTAAAAATACATGCAGTTTAAATGTCCCTTCTGTCAAAAGTTCTACGTCAAACTAGCTAAATAAAACTCGACCTAACAACAATTCCAGAAAAGCATGGAAATTGTATATATGTTTCCATAAAAAAAAATCTGTATAATTTTGCTTTCCACCCCATCACGTCTTATTTACAACTTATTTAATGTTAGAAATAAGGTACTAATGTAATGTACTGTATTTATTGTATTATTTGATCTTAAGAAATATGATAATTGAGAACTGTCAATCATATCTGACAATTTATAGTTGGGAAATGACATCAGGACATCAGTTAAAATGTCTGGACTCAATTTTTGACCATATTAAATTACATGGGCTGATGTTATTTTTGGATTTTTTAGCTCCTTAAAATCACTACTGTCACAATGTTAGAAATGTTATATTTTTATTTTATATTTATTACTTTTATACTTGCAAAGAGACCGCCTAATACTCGTTTTTTATTCAAACAGGTGCATATTACAATCATAATATTGATGTTATTTACCGCTAAATCAGCAGTGGAAGAAACATTCTGTCGAAAAAACTGACCTATGATTGGCTTGGTTGCCGCTTCCCATATAAACAGAATTGTTGGTAGAGGGGCAAGTGAGGGAGAAAAGCACTGAGCTCAGAGAAAAGAATGACATCATCCGGGCTCTGCAATGCTTCAGTGTAAACACAAATGTACACGGGTATGATGCTTTCAACTGAGGTCACGAACAAGGAAAAAGTTGACATAGTTCAGCGCTGGCACAGGCGGATTATCCCCGGCCCACCCACGACACAGGAGAGGGCCCCAAATCCTGATTACGCTGTGATAATATCAATAGCTCAGCACAAGTTAAAAAGGTGAAGCGATGTTTAACTCTTATGATAGGCCATGCAGGGAGCATGAAGGCAAGCAGAGTGGCAGAGCATAAAGCCCTCATCTGTCTGAGTGGGGATGAGGGACAGGGCAGTCTAATCACCTCCAACCGCCACCACCCTGCTCCGGATTACACACTACAGCTGTAATCCTGAATTGTGGACACGCTCGCTGGATTCACTGCATAAAACAACAAAGGCCAAGTGAGGCCACCGTACTTAAAAAAAAAAAAAACTTAAGTAGGAAGAATTTAAGACTGAATTTTGTTATACTGCGCATTCATTGTTCAATAAATCTATATAATCCGACAAATGTGATGCCCTCGCTGTTTTACTGAACATCTAGATCGGATTGGGGTGGGGAGCTGAGGGCCAGGAAGTTTGGTGACTCCCTGCTATAATATACCAACTAGACCTACTGAGTTGAGTCAGGTGTGTTTGACTAGGAAAATCCCCAAACTGTGCTGGAATCTGGACCTCCAGGACCAGAGTTCCCCACCCTTAATCTAGAGCATGTGTGCCACATGATGAGTTATGGGGAAATGTGAGCAGTGGAGTCCAGGGATGCCCTGATCCAGTCTGAAAGTTTTGGTATTTGAGAATTTTAATGAAATGATATTGGTTAAATTGTTTGTAAAAGATCTTCACCTCAGGGACCACATAGTTGCCATAAATGGACACTATCCACAGTGCAGTGTAGTGCCTTTTCAAAAATTAACAAGTGGTTTAAATATCTGCAGTGTAGAGGTCAGTGTTTCAACTGTGGTTAAGCTAGCTGCCAGTTGCAATTTTGAGGCAGTCAAAAAAGCAATTCCTTACAAATTACTATTTACTTTTATTTACAAAATGTAATGGCATTACTTAGTACTGCTTAGAAAAAAGTTACCTCACTACTCATTAATTTACGTTTATATTATTCTGTAAAAGCTGTTCAAATGTTTACTGGACTAAGAGTACTAAGTGGAAAGTACAAGGTATGAAACGAAACAACAAAACAAACAAAAAAAAGTCTTATTAGTAATGTGTTTAGAAAAATGTCCAATTACAGTAAACAAATAAAAGGCATGTGACGGTTATGCTTGATTAAAATTTAGCTGACACTTCAGAAACCCAAAAACTAGTCAGTAGAAAAGAAACAGTTCAAAAATAGCTTTTACAGAGTTTACAGGGCTGTTCCTGAAAGATAATCAAGTCTGGCCTGCTTAGCGTTTTGGATGTCTCTGTTCTTCAGTATGGGGATCCTTTCCACCACTTTCACATTAGCAGGATTAGATGCTTTGACAGATTGTTCAGCAAGTTCAGAGCAGTGTTAAATTTCCCCCCTGTGCTAATGCTGCACTAATCACATCCACAATCATTCACAAGTTGCACGGTCAACTGGGCACAAACTATCTATAAGGACCAGTTTGAATAAAACATATAGAAATTGTTTTAAATGCACTGCATGAAATTAATAATATTCTTTTTTAAACAGATGAGCAATGCAAATAGCTCAATTTTCATTAAGTCTGTAACTGGATGTGATTAAAATTATTTAAACTATCATGTGTTACACTATTTTGTTAGAGGAAAAGTGCAAGCATTACTGCAAAGCAGAATGCTGTACCACGTTACTCCCAACACTGTCCGATTTTTGAAACATAGTTGAATTAGTCACATGTAAAATGTGAATGTACAGCTCTGCACACACGTTTAGTTAAAAAGCAAACTATTTTTTATTACAGCATTTTGATGCAATAGTGAGTTATTTGTGAAAATACACATGCAAGTTTTGGATTTGGTGTCCAGTAGATACTCAATAGCACAGGATCGAGATTGGGAGCAACATCCTTGATCGAGACATGCCTAGAGAACACACATACCTGCTGAAAGGCGAAGGCAGTCAGGGAGCATGGGGTCCACCACTGTGTCTAGAGGCTCTGAGCTCGACACCCAGTTACAGCAGCGCTACAAAGGTAGGAAATACAGACAGAGAAAAAGAAACAAAAGAACAAGCAATTAGGATACTTTGCAACATGGTGACAGTTGTGTTTGTTGGTCAGGAGCGCCTGGACACGCCCCTGCTGCCGCTTTACTATTTGAGTGATCGTGGCAGTGACCTTAGTGACCCCCCTGCACTCGCCATCAACCCTGTTACTGAGACACAGGCCTCTTTTGTTCTTTATCTCTCTTCATTAAGGACCTTTTGCCCATAGACACAGTAAGCTTAATTAGACGAGCAACTCAAAAATTCACATCGAAGACTGGGGGTAGTGGAATTAGAGCACATTTTGACTTTCTTTATGCTACGTTTTAAATAAGGGTTCTAGTCCTAAAAGTTACGCATGCACATCCCTTTAAGTGCAAAAAGTGCAGTAGGAACTACTGACTTGTACTAATTTTTACATTGTCATCCATGTGGAGGAAAGGATGGTTTCAGTGGTTCAATATTTATTTAGTTATTCTTCCACAATACACAATGCACAATATGTATTACAATATTTTGTTTTTTGAGGATTGATGCTTACACAATGTTCAACTGGAACAGGCACAATACATAAGCAAAAAATTCCAGGTACATTTTAAAAATGCTACCCATAACACTTTTTTTAATGTTTCACACACTGCTAACCACAACATCAATTTAAACACAACCGATCATGCTCTCATATGATGCAACTTTGTTATCTCCTGACAACAAGGCAACACCTTAGAGATTGGTCGCAAAAGCTGTTGGTGAGCGTCAGTGGCTGACTGACCATAGTTTGTGCCCTGCATTGTTAGCCCTAGTCGGTTCTCACCAGCGCTGTTTTGACTGATCAACCATGTTAAATCAGCAACGGCGGTCAGCCGTAAGAGAGGCCTATGAATCAGTGCATGAGGAGAGAGACAAAAGAAAGTAAACTGAGCTAAAAGAACTCTTGAGAGGGCACACACACCAGGACAAGTAGCAGAGTTTTATCACTACTGACTGGCAGTTCAACTAGCTTTGCAACTCAAAATCGAATGTCCAAATTTTGAAAAGAACAAAATTTGAATATCATTTTTCCAGTAAAGAAATATTTAATATTGTTATAAATAAACAGACACACAAGAGTTCCAAAGGGGCTCTGATAACAATTTGTCATATAATTATGAACGTGTCAACATTTTATTTTACTATATAATATACAGACATTTATTTTTAAGTAGCCCTTGCCACCCACCCAGCTCTGAGATAACTTTACATTCGGAGGTACTTTCACATTCATTCATGTTTAGCTTAAACATGAACATTTAAAGCTTGTAAGGCATTTGATTAATATGTTTACTTCGTATGTTGTAGTTTTACAGTCAGTTCTTGCTATAGAGCAGAGGTGAAGAACTGAAGGCCAGAGTTCAGCACAATTTGGTGATTCCCCTGCTCTAGCACATGATGTAAACCAGGTAATTAACTGATGAGTTGAATCAGGTGTGCTTGAGCAGGAAAATCAACAAACTGTGCAGAAATCTGGCCCCCCATCCCTGCTATAGAGACTTGTTCCCTTTCACGCAGTCACATTAATTACAAGTCAGCTAGTCATCAGCTGTAGACTTTGCTGTGTGTTTGAGTGCAACTTTTCACAAGAGGCAATTGTGAGCTAATGGAAGGCGACTATCAGTCGGTTTTATTTGGTGTTACTTCTCTCTCGATGGCTTGGTGTGTCTTGTCTCTTAGACTTGCTTTTAATAAAATGTGTAGTTGGTCAATGTTCTTTATATACTGACAATGACCAAAAAATATTCAGAAAAGCTTTGCATAATATCATATCGTCATATCATGAACCCATGCTTTTAGTACTCATCAAATAGGACTTAGAAAATTACTTACATATGTATCCACTGGATATATTTATGCATATTCTTAAGACGGGGAAAATGTTAAAAAGACATAAATAGATCTGAGCACACGTCTGAAAACCACTTTGTAAGTATGGCAAAAACTTTGTAATTAAGCAAGAAGGAAACAGGACCATCCGAGAAACAGATAAATACAGCATTCATATTATGGACAGTATGGCAAGTGTCTTTCTGTTTAGATGGGATGCAGCGTGGAAGAAAAAGAGGTTCCAAAGGAATGCATGGAAAAGAAGGTTCTGGAGATAAGATAAAAAAAGAAAGTTCAATAGAAGAGAGAAATGTAAACGAGATTAGCATGTTGCAGCTGGCGGCCTTGTGAAGCACTGCTTATCTGAGCTTGTTTACTTTTGCAGACACTGCTCTGTCAGCCATTACAGCACCCCCCCCACCCGACTGAGCTGCGACCCGGCCTCACCGTGACTCTGATTCACACACACACACACACACACACACGCAAAGCACTATCTAACCCGACGACCCCCCAGCCTTTACTCCCAAAACTACCCTCCCGTGACAAATAAAGACCAGTCCCATCGCCCTGGACACCCCACAACACACATCCTCTCTCACACTCACTCACGCACACGCCTCTCTGGACACATGACAGAACCCCAGGTCACATCACACCTCAGCCTGTCAACCTCGCTCACCCCTTGAGCCCTGTGCCACCCCAGGGGTCATCAGACACCACACCACAGCACAGCCTCCACCCACCCAAGACCAGCGTCATCCCAGTGTGCGTGAGAGAGATAGCGTGTGTGTGTATAAGTGCAAGGTGGCCATAGTGGGGCTATAGCCTGGCAATGTTCTTTTGTTTCTTCTAGACTTGCTGTCCTTGCCATTCACCCAGTCACTGACATAACCACCGGCTCATATTTGACAACGTTGGTAAGTTAATGTTAATCGATGATACAAATCCATAGTACACCATTAGTGTGAAGAAGGAAGCGCCTGCTGAAGTTCTGTGGGATATTAACTCGAAAGGATCTGGTGCATGACGAGAGGGTCAAACATTAGCTATTGAACCCGTACTCCCTAACGGAGAAAAACGGACAAAATCAAACTGCAAACAACATTACAAATGGGATCCCAACTTTTACAGCATGTATCTGTTTTAGTACCACCTGACTCATCCATGCTCTGACACTGCAGCAAGGTTTACAGAACGTTGGTAAAAACTCCATTCAACCTGATAACCCATACTTTGGGTACTCATCGTTGTGGCCACAGACATTTGTGTGCACATTTTTACATTTTCACATTATAAAGAATGTAAAAATCTGGAGAGCTATTTAAATGTTTCAAAAAAGCATAAGAATGCAAAAACTTTAATATTCTGACCTTGTGAGAAGGAAAAAGACCATCCAACAAACACAAAGTCAGAATTTGCGTGTTACTGAGGTTGTTTCAGAACATTAGCATTCAAATTAATGAGAAATTATAGCACAAATAATCAGATTTTGGAATACAATTCTCTAAATTAAGAGAATGTTATATCAAATGACATTTTGAATATCTGTGAAAGGTCACACTGTTAAGTTCTGTAATCAACATTAACATGATGGCAAATTACTTATATAGTCCAACATTATGTTGAGTAACTTGCATTTACAAACAAGTGTCCTGACACTAAACAACTTCTCCTTACATCAGTGGGATGCTAACGTTCTGTAATGCTTGTCCAACCTCGTAACAGCTACTACGCTGAAATAAGTATACAGCTTTTAAAACTGAGTTAACTTGAAATGTTGAGTTCACTGAACTTCCAATAATAAGTTCATAAATGTAAAACACACATTATTCTTTTGTTAATATTAAAGATCAATTAACTCAGTATTTCAGTTTAACTCAGTTATTCACCTTTTAGGTTTAAAAGCTGCATAAATTTTTACAGCTTACAAAAGAATGCATTTGTGGGCGGAGCATGGATGGGTCAATTATGCTGCAGGAATAAACTGTAATGAAACCTCTTTTCAGCATGGGTTTTACATGCTATATGACGCTAGTAGTGCAAGAAAGCTCCTCCATATTCTTCCCGCCACAGCTCCATTCCTATTCTTCTCCTGCTCATTCTTCTCCTCTAATCCTGTCAATCGTCTCCATGCCAGGCTTGGGGAGGGGGTGAAGTTGCCTGCCACTGGAATAAACAAGCATGCATTGTGTATTTTTAGAATTCCTGCTGCCCTAGTTGTGCACCATGGAGCCCAGCCACCAAACTGAGCGCTCCTTGACTGCTACATCAAGTGTCTCATTGTATATCCTTAATTCATGCCGTCTGGAAGAAGATGTCAGCTGGGATGGAAGCAAGGGGAGGAATTTCAAAGCCTCGGGTCCAGGCCAGAAAGAGAGTGGTGATGGTGGGGGGTGATGAAGAAGGAGCTTCAATAGATTTGTCAAAGCAGGCCTACTGCGTTGGGACCAGTTTAGGGCCAGCGGCGAGGGGGCCGAGGCCACTGGGTGAGACTGCAGATGGGGAGATCAGAAAAGATGACAAAGCTTTTACTAGGAGGGGATGCATCAGCATTTCAACAGGGGAGATCATGAGAGGCTGTGAATGACAGTCCGGGGGATTCGTTCACGTAATGGCATCCCAAAGGAAGCATAAGGAGTCCGGAGGTGGTGGTTAAACTCAGTAACATGTCTACATCATACTTTTACAACTGTCAGACTTATATAAGTGCGTAAGTATAGATGCATGATCAATTTAATGGGACGTTATGAGACGTCTGTTAACTCCAGCAAGCACTGATATAATCAACTCACAGTGACTCACTCGAATCACTCTAAAGTAGTTATTCACACATTATTTTTACAATGGTCACAATCTAAAATTCATCCTATGGCAGTGGACAAAGGCTATTTACTGTTCATTAATATTGTCTTAACAGCCTATCTATTATTATTTTAAATGTCTGTACTGGTCTGAGTATTAGCCAGGCATTTTTGGTCGTAACAGTTGATTAAACAATTTAACAAGCCTAATCCGCTAATGTTTAGAAGCCTTTGTTCAATTGTTTTATCTGAAACCAAGAAATTATATACAAAATAAAATTTCTGTAATGGCACAATGCTGTTAGTCAGCACTTTCAACTATTAGTTAAAGGGATCCACACCATGGAAAACTAATTTCTCTCATCTTTAAACATGTAAACATTATTTAAACAAAGTTTCATAATGCACCATTCACAACTCAGTCCATGAAGTCCAAATATGCTGCAAAAACAGCCCGTTTTGAATTTACTGTTTCTGTGATTTATCTTACATAAGTCTTAAAGGCACTTTAACAAAAACAGCCTGTTTAATTCTTAAGGCTAAAGAGGGATTGGGTAATAGTCATGCAAAAATTAACTATGACCATTTGTGTTACTTAAAACCACACAAATATTAGAAGTGGACCTCAAAGGAATAAAATCACAAAAAAGTAAGATAAGGACCCTTTAAGGCTACCATAAAAAAAGAAAAAAAAAGGGTGAATATCTGAATTTTTGAACAGTGTCTGAGAGCATGACTAGCATATGTCTTGGGCACCAAAACGTCCATGAGCACAGATTTGCAAACTACTCCTCTAAAGCAAACATCATCTCATTTCCAGCACGTCCGAACATCTTCTCGTACCGAAGCAGGCCGGGATGAAAAACGAGGAACGGCCCCAAATGAGCGATAATGGTCCTGTGCTAGGCCCATCAGCATTAATCAGGGCCAGATGGCGGCGGCGTCCCAGGCTCCTGCGGGCCACGAGACAGGGAGCTGGAGCATGGTGGGACACTAAGCACTCTCCTAATGGCCCAGTTAGAGAAGGTAAACTGCAGACAGGTGTTGGCTCCCACAGAGAGCGCTCGAGCCGACCCGCACGCCGCCATTAAGCTCCCTGTGCCTCGCCTCAGATCAAATACTTGCTGTAGAGCTGCAGCTATGGCCCGCCTGCTTCTTACCATACTGCTACGCATCCTCATGAGTAGTGTGTAGAAGATGGGGCACAATGAGAACAAGTACAGGAGGTCATGTTGCTTTTCCAAGTGTGAGTAGAATACCTATGTATTTAGTTTATGGGGAGCATTTAACAAAACTGGACTCCTGCCCAGACGTTTTGTAAGGTTAAGATAGTTAAAATATAATTAGCATAAAACATATATAATACACATGTATGTACATCTGCGTATTCTATATATAAAGAAATGATGCTAAGTAATTGCACAATAAACTACAGTTCTCAAAAGCCCCATGAAAGTTAAAGCTGTGTTTTCTTTCTAAATAAAAGTAAATAATAATTTAATAAACATGTACAAAGTATGCTCCATGAAAAACTTTCCACTGTCCAATAACAGGACAATGTATTTTGTCAAAATTCTATCCTTTTGATGTAAATTGGGTGGTCCGAACCTTGTGCAAGGTTTCCGTAAGTAATACAGTCACCATTCAGGTTGAACACTTCTTGTCCCTTCCATGCAGCTTTGACAAAACTATTTGGTCCCCCACACTCTCTCTCAGTTTGAGACTGAGAAACCTTGTAAGCGGAAGTTGACAACGCAGCAAAAGCTAACCTAGCATGCATAACTTTTTGTCGGTCATCCGTTCATTCAGTTGTCCATCCATTTGTCCAACTGGCCATGCCAGTATTCCCTGGATGCACATCCAGCTTCTTTAACTGACGTGGCCATGTAAAAGCTGGATTATGTTTTTAGAGATGAGGGATGTTAACACATATGCCCTTTAAATATTATGACCACACCCACACAGTTCTCAGATAGGTCTGTTCAGTGTTTTTTAAATCATGCTTAATTATATTTCAATCTTGTTTTTTCATTCAAGCTGTGTTGCCAGGGAAAAAAGAAGACTTCTTTGACTTCTTGCTCTGACTCTTTTGTCTTTAGCCTCTCCAGTTCAGAGAGTAGCTTGGTCCCCATGGCCTTGTCAGTATTCACCGCAATAGTTGATCTTGGATCATTCATTTCAGATATGCAATCTGGTCTGTAATTCTGATCCAGAACTAAATACAGCCAAGTCCAACACAACCTACAGCACCACTGTTAAATGACCTTTGCCAGGATGTTAAGTTACCTTGCAACAGCTGCAATCAGATCACTAATTAACTACAGAAACAACAAAAGTGAATCTATAGTGAATATTGTGAAGACCACTGGGCACACAGCAGACACCTTATTGTGTCAAGGGGTCAGGCATACACTACATGTTTACAGTATGTAGTGTACAAATTAGAGAAGTACTTATAAACTGTAGTGTTGAGGTACAGTATGGCTTTAAATGTGTGAATGGTGATGGATATAGACTTCAGCTTAGTGTACTGTATGTATGAGTTAATGTAGACTACCTTTGATTATTCTGTACATCTATCCATCGATCCACCATATATAATGTACAGTACGGTACACGTTTATTCTTACAACAGAGCTTCTCTCTACCCCCATCTCTCTTTTCTAAGCATGTCCACAGGGAGTTCTCCTACAGTATATTCCCCTTTTCTATATATCTCTGCTACCCTAGGGATTCCAATTCTGAGAGCAGCTCTGTTTATGTCTGAATCTTTAGTACTTGCCCTTCCCCCTCGGTTTCTCTCTCTCTCTCTCTCTCTCTCTGCTGGTCCTGCTGCATGACGTCACATGGCCTCCATCTGACCCATTATCTCCGTATCACCTCTCCCACTGCGGGCTGATCTCCAAATCCCTCCACCTCTCTGCACTCATCCCTCTATCCCTCCATCCCTCAGGAGGAGAGGGGGAATTACCACCTACACATGAGGAAAAAGAAGGCCTCAGGACAGGTTAGTGAAGGTGCACTATAGGCAGTCTCAGTCCCCCAGTTCCCCACCTGGGGTGCAGCCTAACCTCCACAGCCACCTGCTGACCGCCGCAGGCAGGAAGACGGCAATGGATGGGGAAGAGTCATGGCACTGATTAAAGGCTGACCTGAACTCATCTAATGCACCATCTGACAACAGCATAGGAAAGGTCTACTATTAGAGGATTAAAGTACTAAATGAACAATACTGAAGGAAAGAATGTTTCTACATGACCATTTTTCAACCTCTCTTTATCCCTCACAACAAAATAGGCCATTTGGTTATTGAGTCTTCAAGGCTGACATATGTAAATGATCTATGGACTATACGAACTGCAGAGTGTACATATTTACAAGCTTTAGTAATGTTTACATGCATCATCGAAAAATAGTTTTTAAAAAAGTTTTCCATGATATGAGCCTTTTAAACATGACTCACTTTACTGTTCAAAATAACTAAGCAAGCTTGTACACCTTAGCTTGTTCACCATCAATGTTCTGACAAATTCATAATGGTATGTTCATGGTACACATGGAATAATGTATTTGTGGGCATTTGTATGAAAAAATCAATAACTGCTTTCATCAGTCATCAGGGTCTATGCAGCTCAGGGTAATAACAATTATGAATATGAAAGGGTTAATGAAAGAGAGTGAAAGAGACCTTGCCTTTCTCTTTCATGGGGTTAGATTTAGAAGGTTATTAGGGATTTTATTGTACAGGGTAATCATCACAAATAGAAATCACTTAACATTCCAATTACGCCACCACGATTTCTCCAATGAATCAGAAATAGTACATCAAGTAGAAGAAGAAGAACATCACAACATTTAAGCTGCATTTTACTGCCTAGGGATGTGAGAGAGAGAGAGAGAGAGAGAGAGAGAGAGAGAGAGAGAGAGAAACAGAGAAACAGAGAAACAGAGAAAGTGAGTGAGAGAAAGTGAAAGACAAACCAATAGAGAACACAAAGAAAAAGAAAGAAAGAAATACAGAAAGACAGACAGAGAAAGCGAGAGCAAAAGAAGAAGAAGAGAGAGAAAAAGATAGCTAGAGAGAGAAAGTGAGCAGAGACAGACAGGAAGTGAGAGAGAGAGAGAGAGAGAGAGAGAGACAAAGAGACAGAGAGCATGAGAGAAAGAAACTAGATAAAAAATAATAGATTGATTGATTGATTGATTGATGGATTGAAAGAAAGAAAGATAGAAAGAAAGAAAGAGAAGCAGGAGAGAAAAAAAGAGAAAAAAAATAAGAAAGTAATAAAAGATATTGATGGAGAAATAGATAGATAGACAGATAAACATACATACAGCCAGAAAGAAAGAAAGAAAGTAGGAAAGAAAGAAACAAACCAACAAAGAGAAGCAGAGAAGAAATAAGTGATAATGATAGACAGACAGAAAGAAAGAAAGAAAGAAAGAAAGGAAAACTGAGAGAAGCAGGAGGGGAGAGAAGAGAGTAGAGAAAAAGGGTAAAAAATGGAAAGAGAAAGAAATATGGTAAATAAGAATAAGAGTTTGTCGTGCATGTGTGTGTGTGTGTGTGTGTGTGTGTGTGTGTGTGTGTGTTTGCATTCAGCATTTGCATCTCTGGCTCTCTTTTAGGTCTCACTGGGCACCCGCCCGCTCCAATTTATGTGCATACTGAGGTTCCCAGGTGTTGTCTGTGGACCTTAGGTCAGCAACTAAATAAAGCTAGCACACTAACAGAGCGAGCAGCGGCCTCTGGCTTTGATTTCTCATTGACATCTGACCAAACAGACAAACAAGAGCGTGGCATTAAAAACAGACTGGTGTCTCGTGACTCCGGCTGCAGAGTGGATCTGCGCGCTGCGAGTGAAATGCCACTGTTTGCATTGATACATGCAGTCAATACAGGCACAAGTGATTGTTTCTCGGGGGTTAGCCAGGCGCTCTGTGGCCACTGAGGAGAGGGGATTTGACGGAGATTGAGGGAGACGGCACAGTTTACCTCTTTGAGCCATTCTTGGATGGACCTGTTGGCCTCCTGGTGCCAGACATTGTGGACAGAGTCAGTCATGGCCACCGCACTCACACGAGACTTCACTTCATCTTCCCTCTGGATCAACTGAGAGAGAGAGAGAGAGGAGAGAGAGAGAGAACAAAAGGGCAAAGAAAATGATTATTAATCTTAATAATTGCTTTAAAAAAATTGCCAAATAAAAAAAATCTACATCTAAGAAATATCATTCCCATTTTGCAATTTCTTGTCAAATGTGTCAGTACAATTCCCTCAAACGGACACAGTTGTGAAACTCTACGCCTGTAACATATGCTAGTCATGACGGAACCCACAGCTTTGCCACAACAAAGTATGAAGCTGTAGTATTAGCTAGAAAATAGTCACCACATTAGCTTAGTTAATTACAGTAGCCATAAATACTACTTGGTCGTGATAAATGAAAGTCACATACCATTAAGAGAAAATTTATGGTGTAACTTTTTCTCAGTATTTACACTGTTAATGACACAAGCTTATTACCATTAACAATGTAAAGAACTGTCAAAAGTCAGAGAACCTTGATTTATATAATTTCCTATCAAAACAGCCATTAAGTACAAGTTATTCATCTTTTAACCTCAGATAAACGCATAAAACATTTCATAGAAATTGCACAAAAGCCCCAACGACTAAAAGGAATATCACATTTTTGATATTTAGTGTCTCCACACTTTGCCTTTATTACAGCTTACATTCCTTTTAGGAGACTATTTTCTACACCTCCGTAGTTCAATGTTAGAAGACTGTTACATTTTCTCCTTCTGACATTCCAAGTAATCCCAAACACATGCGATGATCTTGAGGTCTGGACTCAATGTGGCCAGTTCATTATTCTGAGAACAAAAGCAGCTACATTTTCTTTTTTGTGTATTTCTTTTTCTCAGTAACAGATTCTTGACCACTACACATCCTTTTAGATCCACAGCTTTAAGTTGTCTTCTCACAGTGGAAGGATGGACAGAAACACTTGTGGATTTTTTCCAGATCTGAAGCAAGAGTGGAGCTTGATTTTCCCCTCTCACTTAAAGATAAAAGCTTTAAGTACTGTTTATCTGATGGTGACAGTTTTGGTGGTCTACCAGGTCCCATTTTCTTTGCCAATTCTGATTATTATTCTATACCTTGTAATACATTTTTGAATTTCAGTTTTTTAAAGACTTTTTTTTTTGTTTGACTTTCGCCTTACTAGGTCGAGGGTGTCCAATCTTATCCATTGCTCGTCACTGATGGGTGTAGATCTGTTTGATCTTTATAGGACTCTTATTTGTAACTTCTTGACTGACTCTCAGATCATGTGTCCACATGTCTTTACATGAGTTTATGGAAATCATCTAACACTGATTTTGTCTTTTGTCCTGATAAGGGCCAACTGGGCCAAGATATATATATATTCTGAATTGAGATACTGCACAACAAATAGTGAGTTTGGGTTGATTCACATCTAACTTGCTTGCTAATTAGCTCGCTAGAACTTAAAGAGTGCAGGCCATTAAAGTAATGGTTCACTGATGAATCAAATTTAGAAAATATTCCCTTCATCTGAAATGAGGTGAATCAGCCAAGACATAACTGGTACCTGAACTTGCTTTTTCACTTTCACATTGGAACTACAAAGCATGGCTAACTAAAAGAAGCCTGTGAATGATGAAGATTTTGGGTGACACAGACTTTGATTACTTTTTAGCTACACCAGCCTTGTAGCTCGAATGCAAAACTAAAGGAGCAAAAAAGTCTTGGTTAAATTAAAAACATTTTTCACAGTACCAAAGACTTTTGCCTGTTAGGTGATGAGGTTGAGGTTATGTCTGCTATAAAACTATAATGTAGACCACTGTTCCATAGCGCAGTCCAATAAATGGCAAAGGAAAATGTTACTAAATGTACTTTTCACCTGCAACATTCCCTATTGTGCTCAGGCCATGGAAGTTAGCCTGAAATGCTAAGTGCTGCCAGTAAGATAAAAGAGCCGGAGAAGGAGACAGGTCTGACAACAATAGGTTAACAATCACTTCACTTGATACATTTTATAGGGACCACGGCTGGGCTGGGTGCTACATCAAAGTGTCTGTGGCCATTTGAATACAGTGCGTTCCCCAAGCTCAGTTAAATTAAAGGGGGTGTAGAGAGATAAATGGAATCTATTAAGGCACTAAGGACTAATATATCACTCTGTTGATAAGGTACTCTCAGGAGCATCCTCATAAAGAAAAGGAGAGGAAGCAGGTAACACACACATACATGCTCTCTCTCTCACACACACACACACACACACACACATACTCACACACACACACACACATACTCACACACACACACACACACACACACTGTTAGGGACAGTGTGCACAGCTAAAATACCTCCCTCAGTCTCAACAGTGCCCGAGGGAGCAGCAAACTCAAGCCTTTAAAACTCTTCAAAGTGTCACTCAAGCCAGAACGTAACGCTGCATAAATGTAACCGAGCCCCAAAGATGGTCTAGACACCAAAGTCCCAGACAAAGACTATAAAATAACCCACCCGGCAAAGACAACAAGCATGCCATCACCGACACGAAAACACCCTTCAAAGACCTATATAACTGATCCAAGGTTTCTTATGGCAATAGTGTAACACAAATGGTATGTAATATCATAAATATGCTCATGTCATGACAAACAGCCTGGGATCATGTAAACAAAACCTCAGAGTAAACATGGCAGTTGGTTAAGAGGGAAGAAACCACAGAGGAAATCTGCTGTCTGTTTCCCATTGGGAACACAGCCACATGTGCATCAGACTTCTGCGTCTGATTGATGTCCTTCAGCGAGTGCCAGAGTGCTCGGAGCGCACACGCGCGTTCAGTAACTCGTGCACAAACATAAACACAGCATACAGAGCCACTTATGTCTGAGTGTCTACCTTTGTGGAGTCAAAATATGCCGTAAACAAATGTGAAACAAATTACTACTGAAATGAATGAATGCAAAGGAGTTAAAGAGCACAAGTACATGCAGACAAGTTGACAAACGGCTAAATCAATCGATACACGAGTGAACGGGTTTATACACTTTGCAATCGGAAGACAATTCCATGACACTAAATGAACACACACTTACTGGAGTGTTTTTTTGTCATAGTTGAGGAGATTTTTGGTTTCGTTCACATTCAACTTGCGAGCTTATTAGACAGGCTATTAAAAGTGTAGTTCAATGATAAATCAAATTTGCATGTTCCCCTTACGTAGTCAATCAGCCAAGACATGTTTGGTGACCGATCTTTTCTTTTTTTTACTTTTACAATGGAGCTACAAAGAACTGCCAATTAATAGAAACCTGTGAGTAATTATTTTGGTGTTTCTACTACTTTTTGAGCCTCACAGCTCTAGTGCAACACTACATAAGCTAACTTCAGACTCCAAACATGTCTTGATTGATTGACTACATTTGGGAAAACGTGCTCCGATCTGATTTTTCAGGGAAACAAAATCCTTTCATTTTTTATGTGACATAAAATTATGTTTCCATTACCAACACTTCACAGACAGACAATATAGCAGCTTGGATTTAAAAAATAATAATAATACTGTCCACAAAGTTTGCAGCATACATGTCCTGAAGGCTCCCACTTCGCTAACAAAGATTCATACTTTATGTATAACTGTTTAATACCCAGCTGTGTCTGAAATGACCTTCACCTGCCATATTTTGTTAGTAGTGCATTTGTGCAGCTAGCTAAATGCTAATGATCAACCACTAGCATGCTACTGTAGCATGGGGCTATAAGAATAGTGGGGCATCAAGAAAGCCCTTACTTGAATACACCCCACTCATAGGATCATACCTACTACAGGAACCCAGGGTTCCATCCTGTGTGAAATTAAATTCAAGTGAACAATGTAATATCTAAAATGTGTCCACCAGCTAAGTACAAGAGAATACAACTCTGTCACGTTCATAAAAACATTGTTGCAAAATATGGACCGACCTAACAGAGATATCTTTCATATTAAGCAACATTTCATTGCTGTTTTGTTTAGTTTTATTTCACATTCATTTCACATCACAAGAGTGCAATGACGAAACACACAGACATAATGAAATGGCTCAAGATCAAGATCTATCTAATATCACAGTTTGGATTATTTCTTTGATAAGATAAAAGCACGTTTTAATTTCTTCATCAATCCACTGGCACCTGCTGCTTTCCGACATGTTTCCTAGCTACAGCTGTGTGTACAGAATCACCTCATCAGTGATTTCTCTTTGTTCTATTCTCACGTACATGACATTACATGTTGTAATCGTTCACTGTTTTTTTATCAGCAAAAAAGTTTATCAACTTCAAACAAGCATAAAAACTTTTAAGAAAAGTTTGGAGATTTGATTAGATATGTGTTGTTACCAGCAAGGCTTTATTATTCAATATGTCAGAATATGCATAAAAATATGTGGATGGAATCCTGGCTACTCTTTGAGGGAGTTAAAGCCATATTACCAAATCCTAAGGATGGCCCCAACTAAAGCTTTTCATAATAGCTAACCCACCTTACCCCCAAAAAATAGGATTATACACATTAATAAATGAATAACATAACCTAAATATAAAAGCTTGCACCCTAAATATAAGCTTTCATTTTGCTATGATTTGCAAATACAGCTTCAACTCTAATTTATTTGTAAAATAAGTAGAGAAGAAAAGAAGTATATACATAAATAAAGACATAAATAAATGCAATTAGATGACCGACAGAATGTTAGTCAACTAAAAATGCAATGACTGATTAGTCAGCTATTTGATTTAGAGAGGACAGCCCTACTGTTCCATGACTTGTACAGGGCTTTCATGCCTTTATAAACCTTGTAGATGAGCTTGTGAATGAACTAATGTTAGTGAATAAATGGATAAACTATGAAAGAATAAATGTTAGAAGGAATGAATGTCATGATCTTCATTCCCACATGCAGCGCGAGCCTCTCAGCCTGTCAGGATTAGCGGTTAGCAGTGAGCAGGCTCGTGTGGAGCAACTGAGGAAAGGCACTGGGCAGCTGCTGCTCATCCATCTCCAGCCCCGAAACAGCACAGCAAT